GGGGGCGCGGCCGAGCCGTGAATAACCCATGCTGGGTACCTGAGAGGGTTTTCTGACCCCCTTTGAACTGAAGGAGCCAGCATGAGAGCCCAGGCTCTTCCCCGAAGCTCCTGACAGGGCCTCAGCCTGGGTTGAGCCCAGTGAGACCGGTGTGTTCATGGGAGATGGCTTAGCAAGTGGCTTTCTGCATTTCCCAGCAGCAAAATACTCTCTCCTGGCATCTGGCCCCGGCACCGGGAGGCTGCGGTGCTGCTGCAGGAGGTGGCTGGCTGCCTTCGGCCAGACAGTCTTCAGGACAGAGTCCACCACCCGGGACGTCACCCCGGCCAGCTCGTGCTTCAGCGCCTGTGAGAGGACCCTTGCTGCTGAGGGCAGGCTACCTGTGTCACCTCTGTCCTCGTCCTCCTCCTGCCCACACACCTCCAGGACGCTCCTCCAGAGAGGTGCTTTGTGCGGGTCGCTGGTGGCAGTGGCACTGTCCTTGTCTGGTCTGTCTCCAGGATTTCCAGGCCATGGATGCACTTTCTCGGCACCTTGCTGGGTTTGGGCAGCGTCCCCAGAGTCACAGACCTGGGAGAACTTCTCCTGAAGCCGCCTCAGCTGCTGCTCTAAAAAGCAGAGCTGCTCCTTCAGCTGCTGGCAGCCCTCGGCATGAGGGCTGCCCCCGGCGGGGGCCACTCGCCCAGCTGCCCCCGCGCCCTGCTGGGGCACCCTGGGCTTCCTCTTGCTCTCCCGCGGCATCTTGCAGCCCCTCTCCCTCTCGTGCCCAAAAGCTGCCTCCAGGCTGCTGCCAAATGCCTGAGGGGTAGGTGGGATGCTCATGCCTTGGATGATGCTCTCCACCCTGGCCCGCTTGGCTCGTAGGTGCTGGTCAGAGAGCTGGTCCTGTAGGTGCTGGTCGGAGAGCTGGTCCCTGTCGACAGCACAGGGCATGGGAGGCGGGTCATGGGTCCTGGGAAAAGCCAGAGCTTGCGCTCCTTCTCCAGGAGATGCACCATGCTCACAGTCCTGAGGCAGGGCCGCTGCCTGAGAGGAAGGGAAAAGGATGCTGGGATCCAGGCTCCCGCGAACCATCGGGTAGCTGAGGAGCTGTGATATCAGGGATGCACTGGGGGAAGGCAAGAGAGAGTCGGTCTGGAAATAGGGCTCCGACTTCAGCCCCTGGCCCTGCCCTGAAGTGGCACGGTCTCTGTCCTGCTCAGAGCCAGTCCTGCCATCCATCATCTCTTCTTCCTGCCTGGACACTGGAGAGCTGACCCTCAGCTGGTTGGGGATCATTTCTAGTGACAGACTGGCAGGCTTCCCAGGTGTTTGATGTTTCAGCCTGCTAGTGGTGTGGAGCTGGAGAAAGAGCAAGAAACATCAGTGGGCAAGACCTCATACAGCACCTCTCCATGCACATGGCCAGAGATTTTTCCTCCCAGCTTTCCAGGGCATCCCTGCTCCCCTGCAAAATCTATTTCACCAGGGAATGAGCCAGGCAGAAACTTCCAGGCACTGCAAAACCCGTTAGCAGGCTGTCGGGTGTCGCATGACAGCAGCAACGCCCTGGACACTGTCACAGCTCCCACCTACCAGCCAGGCATTCATCATGCCCAGAGTACATTTCACATGATTTGAGCCCTGGATGTGCCTGGCAGCATGGAATTCCCACACCGCCAGCTGTGCCTGCACCGGAGGCATTTGGGGAAACTCCCCTCTGGGCTTGTGGACTCAGGTACAAGGGTGGTGAGCACCAGATGGAGCCCCTGGCCACACACACCTGGGCAAAGGTGGTTTTGGGTGCTTCCGGGTGCTGGCTGAGCACAGGGACGGCAGCTACATCCCTGGTGAAGGCACTCACGGCACGTAGCAGCTAGGTCAGGGCATGGCTGCTGCCTGCTTCTGCCGGCACCCAGCACCTGCCACCAGAGCCCCAAGGGCACGGTGATGGGTGGCAGCACTGGGGGGACCAGGGCGGCACAGACAGGCTGGTGGAAAGGGGTACAGCAAGGGTGAAAGTGTGATGTGACCTGCTGCAAGCAGGACACACCGGGATGTTCAGGCTAACACAGCACGGGGCTCCTAAGCGCTTGGCAAAACACTGAATAAAAAGGATGGGGGTGGGGATTACCGGGGAAAAGAAAAACTACTGAGCCAGCAGCCCCTGGCTTAAAATTGTCACGCTGACTCCAGGCAGGGATCCACCCCCTCTGCTCGTTCACTCGTTCGGACAGCTTTGCAAAAGAAGGTGCAAAAGCTTGTATCCTGGGCAATTACAGAGTAACTGTCCCTGTCGGATGCTTCTTCCTCATCCACATTAATTAGCAGTAGCTTTGCATCCCTGAAGTAGAACAGTTTATGTCTTTTCCAGACACCTTTAAAGTGTCTGAGATTCTTTTGCTATACCCAGAAACGTCTGATCATTTTCAACACCATCAGTCTCCCGTCCCCGTGACTGTCTGCTCCACAGCGAGTCCCCCAGGCTAATGAGCAGTGTAGAAAATGGGTTTCTTCTCACTGGTTTTTAGCAGGTTGCCTTTCTTCGAACAGCCCTGTATTCCAGGCAGGTATCAGGGAGAGCTCTACCTTTTACAGAGCCCTAGGCTTGACAAACCAAGTATTTTCTGGGTTGTCCGACACCACTTGTTGCTGTCCCGTGTTGTCTCCCCACCCCTCCTGACCATTAGGGTTTCATTTGCCTAACAGTCTGTCGTGGGGGCATTCAAACTGCTCAGTTTACCCATGGCCAGTGCGAGGCCGGGGTGCCGGCAGCTCTCAGCATCACCCCTTGCCCTTGTATAACAGGTTTCACCATCGCCTGCGGCCGCCTCTTAGCCTGCCAGTCGCTTCCAAAAAAGCCACACAGCAAATGCAATGCAGTCATAGATTTCATCCACCCTTAAGCCTTTCTGCATGGCATGGGCACGAGACAGTCGGTCCTGCTACCTCACTTGTTTTGTTACAGAAACACCTTCTTTTGGCACTTGGTCACAATTTCTCACCTCCTCTGCGTTCAACAGCAAGGTCAGGGAGCTTACCCATCCCCTGTGCTGAGGCTTCCTAGACCCTGACACCCAGGGCAATACACCCTTCGTAAGCAGATGGACTCAGAGCTGGCAAGAAGCCCTCCACTTGCCCAAGGCTTCCAGCACCACCATCTTTCTGCCAGAGATTTGGAGAGTGGGAGCAGAGCCTGTGGTCCCAGGCCATGGCAGCCCACCGTGGATGGCCTCGGCTCCCCCCTCAGCCTCCCCAGCACCACAGGACCGGGAGGTGCTGCCCCAAGCAAACTGCTCCCGCTGATGCAGCCCTTTCCATGCTGAGTTAGCATACGCGTACTTCAGTTCCTGCTCTTACTACCAGCCTTCACCAGTACCACCTTCCAAAACACTAAAAAGCAGCCAAGGCTCCTCTTACCTGAAGAAAAAGACTGAGGAACGAAATGAAGATGCTTAGAAGAGAAGGCAAGGGTGTCCTCTCCAAAATGGGAGCCGCCCCACATGGGCTCCCCAGGTGCCCCTCGGTGGGAGAGCCGTGCACGGAGCAGCCTGCCGCCCCTCCAGCACTGCAAATCCCCCCAGAGCCTTCCCCAGCTGCCGCATCCCTCTGTCTTCAGCAAGCAGTCCCCAACCTGAGCTGCTCGCACCTCTCTGCCCCACTCACCTTGGCTCCAGGGGCGCAGGGAGCGCAGTGCCCCGAGGGCAGGCATCCGGGGGCCTCGGGATGCCGCAGAGGCAGCGCCGGCGCGTCCTCCTGCTGCGCTCAGGTCCTTTAAAGAGGGAGTGGGGAGGCCGGAGGCAGCCAACCGGCTGGGAACGACTTCTGAATATGCAGATGGACGTCCAGGGGGTCAGGTCCAGCGCCAGGGTCCAGCCACCTTCCCTGCCGCTCGGCCGTCTCCCAGGCTCATAGCCCCTGGAGTCGGACAGGCAAGGGCTGGTGTCAAGCTGCTGGCTGCCCAGGTGGGCAGGGGGCCAGACGAGCAATTCCCCCTTACAATTTGGCCTGGAAACCCCATCCAGGACCCAGGATGGTGAACCGTTGGTGAGATGATGCAAATACAGCGGACTAGAGGCAAGCAGTGCCACAGGCAAGGAAGGAGCCGGCCCGGAGCTCCAGGTGCTCCCCAGCTCCCACGGAAAGCACCCAGGTATTTCCAACATCCCCTGCCATGGGGAAACAGAGGCATTTCAGCTGGCCTGCGGTGTAGGACATGGCCAGGAAATGGAACAACACAGGAAAAGCAGCAACACTGAGTCCTTTGCTTATCGCAGGGTGCTTTAGAGACACTGCCGCAGCCAGCAGAGCCGGCACTGCTCTCAGCTCAGCACGCCCCAACCCCAGCGGCACGCGTGGTTGTTGAGATGCTTCATGCAGGAGCTGTGGGGTGCGTGGACAAAGCCTAGCCACGCATGCCACTCCTGGGGCTTCGTCTGCTTTGCCTCCACACGCTTACTGAACATGGCGATGTTTGGTATATTCATTTCGTAGGCAGAAGGCTGTGGTTAAAATCAGTTGACATCAGGTGGTCTTGTTCAAGGATATTAGCCCTCGAAAGACAGATCACAGAGAAATCCCTGGCAGAGAGCCTTTCTGGCTCAGCTGCCTTTTATTAAAGCAGTCAGCACATCCTCAGAGCCTCAGAGACTATCCCCTGTTGATTTTTATTCAACCTCTTTTCTTTGAAAATGATCCCAAGGATGTTCATAGCAAATTAGGAGACTATTTTGAAGGTTGCAGTTTACCATTCATATATTATTAAGCAATGGCTAAATTAAGGACGTGTGCTCGGACTTGGCTCCTTGAGAGATGCCTGGCTGCCAGACAGCCTTTTATGACTATCCCAAGCTAATTCTCAGATTCTGCAAATAGGTTCCTTGGGTTTTCTTCCACCAGTGGTTCCCCACCTGGAAGCAGGCAGAAAACAGAAGCTAGCCGGGGGATTCTCAAACGTTTTCAACATACAGACCACACCTGAGGAACGGGACTTACTTGTGGACTCCTTTGCCTGTTTGCCATGGTGACATGACCTCCTTGCCCATTTCTAACCATGCAACATCCCACTGGCTGACACTTGCGGCAGTATCATCCTACACGAGCCCGACCCCATGATTTGTCAAGGTGAGCAGGAAGACCACCGGTACAACTGTCCTGCAGCAATCCAGAGTTGGTCCAATGAAGAGGATCGTGGAACAACACCCTTTGGTAATACGTAGGTCCGTTTACGTACCAGGAATCGTAGGTAACAAAACTCGCAGGTAACATAACTCGTAATGTGAAAGCCCCTGCGTCTGCTTGTGCCGGGGGCAGCACAGAGGTACCGACAACCAGGACACAAGGCATAACCGAACCGTCTGCCTGCCGCCCGGCCCTGCACGGGGCTGCGGAAGACATCTTAGGTATGGTTCAACAGCAGGCTCTTGAGGTACCACGGCCTGTCCCTGCCCCTGCCCCTGCCCTTGCCCTGCCCCGCAGCCCCGGCCCCAGCCTGTCCCTGCCCCACAGCCCCG